AAAAAATTCTGAAACAAATCCATATTCATTAACATGGAAAATATTTATAGTTTATTGACTTCAGTATTGACACTCTATACACTAATTTCATGTATATTTATAAATTTTTCCCAATGAAAACACAGACACAAAATAATCTTGTTAACTTTTTCTTATCTATGGGTTGAAGAGCTAGTATTATGTCTTTTCATCAGGCAATTATTGTTATGCACTGGGAATATGTCCAACACAATAGTTGCATCTTTCTGTCTCTGAGGACACTGTCCCCACTGCTGCTCTGTTAGGTATTTTGCCAAAATTCAATGCATACTAGATTCATTAGTGATGCCTGAACTTTGGTCACTAAGGACTTTTTGTTTATTCATGGAGATGGCCTTGTATGTACATAAGAGACTGAGCAAATATTTATCTTCTATCACAGTGTAAAAACATGTCTTTACTCAGAGAAATCATAAATCATCTCTTCCAGAACTATAAACATCTCCTTATATTTCTCAGACATTTAACAAAAATACCTTTTTATTGCAGCATTGAGATATAAGAATTTATTTCCTAGTTTTAAAGTGCAATAGGATCTCTAGTGAGAGTCTACATATTGTGAGAGATGTTGCTAACTCAGAGAGAACTATCTATACCAAAAACTGGTCTGTGAACATGTATGGATTCATGAGAAGGGCATCTGTGCACATATTTGACTCTACTAACACTTTCAGTTTCATCTTTGGGACTATCAAAGTTATATAGTCAACTAAAGCCATGACTGTCTTCTATACATGTAAGTATGTTTTCATTTGATAATTTCTGTTTCTTTCTTCAACCAACATTCTATTTCCTTACTTGAGCAAAATATCAAGCTTATATCTATTTGAAAATTAAAGATGACAAAAATTAATTTGAATATCTCTGGAAAAGTAAACAGTATTTCTGATATTTTGTTCTAGAAAAATGAACACACTGGAAATATTTATGACATGTGTCAGTAAAGAGATGGTCAGTTCCTGTTGACTCTTTTTATCCTACAGTAGTACCTGTCACATCATAGGTTCTCAAAGGGGGAAGTACAGAACAGAACTTTAAATTCTCATGGAATCCAGCCTTTCTGGAGCCATTGAGACTGGATGAACCCCAAAACTATTGCCTGAAATAATCTTTAAATCTTAAACTAAAAATATCCCCTTAAGTCTTCTTTAAATCAAACAATAGTTTAGCTTAATTATCAAAGAATGTCTGCCTTGAGCCTTGTGCTCTTTTAAAAACTATCTATATGAGATCAAATTGACAACAGTAACTCAAAAGATTAGATAGGCAACTTAGAGAGCAGTGAGTTTGTGATTATGGGGCAGGGACAATTTGAAAAAGGAGGGTGAGAATTGCTGTACAACTGGAAGAATGTAATCAATGTCACTGAATTGTACATGAAGAAATTGTTAGATGGGTGTATGTTCTGCTGTGTATATTCTCAACAAAAACAACAAAAGAAAAAAAAGAAAAATGTCTTTAATTAATTAATGAGTACTCATAGAAATAGGATCATTTAAGGGACAACAAGAAGCAATTTATCCTACAATGTCACTCTCAGGATTCAATACATATTTATATCAAAATATAACATTGGAATGCCAATTTTTCTACAATGTTGTCATTGGTGATTACTGAGCTAATTATAAAGGCAAATATTCCTTGAAATACACCAAATAGAAAACAAACATGAATTAAATTACTTTTTCAGAACATTTTCTTAATATTCTAGTATCAGAGAATATAAGTAATGATGATTAGAAAGGGAGAAGACTTTTGGAATCTGACACTGCTCTGAGTTAAGATGCCACAGTGAAGCCTTGGAAGCTTAAGAATTCTCTCAATTTAGGTTAGAAAGGTCAATTCATGTGTAAAAGGGTATCTTGCTCACCTACTAAATATTTCTTCCTCTGACACTGAATTAGTGCTCCTGTCCAGAGAAGGTGTCTATAAACCACAGGTTCTGTTTTTATAGCAGAAAAGCCCCTCAATTCATCAAACCCTAGGAAAACATTTCATTATTTCATATAACAAACTCATGGATTTCTCCGTGGAGGATCACTTTCCACCTTGCAATAGTGGAAAATCATAACACCTAAAGTCTTTTATTAAATAAGATACCTTGTTCTTAATTGATAAGGCAAATGTGATATTATTCTTTCATTCTTTTCACCAAATTTCAAGGAACACTTACTACATCATTGGAAATATGCTTGGTATTGGAGGCACAATAATATTTAAAACAAAATTTGTCAATACAATCTGACAATCTAGTCAGAAGAGCTGTAAGAATAATCACAGAATAGTGGTAATAATAAGGGGGAACGCTAACTCCATCTTGGAAAACCATAGATGGATTCCTGGTAGAATTAATACCTAAACTGAAACTTAAAAGAGAGAAATAAGAGGTTGGAGAGACCAAGTGGAGCGATCACGTGGACAGAAGAAACGTGGGAATGTCCAGAGGTAATTTAAGCATCACTTTTGTGGGAACTGCAAGTAGGTAAGTCAGGTGAAGAAAATTGAACCAGGAGACATGAATTCAGCAGCCTGACTTTGTAGACTATACTCTATCACTATTGTATACTTTCTTTTGTTAGCAGCCAGAACAACTATATCAGTAGAGTACAGCAAGAAATTAGAGAAATTGTGTCAATTGATACTGGATTAGCAAGAGCCTTAAATGCTAACTGAGAAGCTTAAATGTTATGATAATGGTAAAAAAGAACAATTGAAGGAATTAAAGCTAATGTGTCAGTTACGTTATTCTCCTTAGATTTCTACAAGGAATCATAACCCAAAAAATCTTTAATTTTCTTCCTTCAGCCCCTCTGAGTCAACAGTGAAAGATAGAGGAAGGTCCCAACATAGAGAACTCATTTAGAACCACTAAACTCTCCAGCCTTTCCTACAACTCTCTTATCCCCTGCTAAAGAAATTTCATAAAGTCTCTCAGGATGGGAAGCCTTGTTCTGACTCATCATCTGTTCCTTTGAATAAAAAGGTTATTGCCTGAAAACATTCCAGCAATGTCAATTCTGAAATCTAAACCTGGAATGTGTTCCTTCTGCTCCTCTTCACAGCACTTGCCTAAATTCAAAATAACTTCTGTCTAAATGAGAGCTGCATCAAGGGTGTCAAGGAAACTCCTAGTGAAGAGAGAGCATCAGGTAACGATAGTTCAAAAACATTTTTCCACAACAGATAAGGGAGGGATAATCATATCTGAGCTTTAGAGAACAATTCTGAATGCATTGATTCTAAAAATTAAATGAGGAGTACCAAAGATACAGGTTAAGAGTATGTTAATATGGTTTTGAAAAATTTGGGCTATAAGAAATAGACACCCAGAATTAAGGTAGTAGTGTGAGGGAGGGAAGAAAAGGAGTAAATTAACAGAATATTAAGCATACAGAAATGACAAGATCTGGTAATAAATTGAAAATGGGAGGAAAAAAGAAAAAGAAATAAATGGCACTTGAAGAGACTCAGATTGATGGGGGAAGAGGGAAAATAGCAAGTACCACTTTTAAAATCTTGAAATTTCCACATCTAGATGATATTCAAGAAGAAATAATAAGATACCAAAAATAAGAATGTTCAATATAATAAATAGTAATGAGTGTTCACCATCACTTACAACAGAAAAGGAATAAAAATATATCACTATCAAAAGTGTTTGAAACAATTTTCTATGGGGAAAACCTAGAAAACTTTGGACTTTAGTGCATTAAAATAAATCTTAAAGAAAATCTCTCTAGTTAAAAAATATCTGAAACCCACCTCGAAGAAGGTGGACTGCCACCATGTGGTAAGTATTCATTACCAGTTTTAATAACTAACGTGCGTGCAAACTGGCATGCCAGAATTTTCTTAATAAAGACCATTGTTAGCTTATTTTGGGACCTCTCTACTTGAAGCTGCAGACGACCTCTTTAAAGTGTTACAAAGCAAAGATGTCACCTTGAGGACTAAGGTGTGCCTGACCCAAGTCATGGTCTTTCAATCGCCTCATATGCATGCGAAAGCTGGACTATGAATAAGGAAGATCGAAGAAGAATTGATGCCTTTGAATTACAGCGTTGGCAAAGAAAATTGAATATACCATGGGCTTCCAAAAGAACGAACAAATTGATCTTGGAAAAAGTATAGCCAAAATGCTCCTTAGAAGCAAGGATGGCGAGACAAAGTCTCACATACTTTGGATATGTTATTAGGAGGGATCGGTCCCAGGAGAAGGACATCCTGCTTGGTGAAGTAGAGTGTCAGCGAAAAAGAGGAAAACCCTCAACAAGATGGATTGACATAGTGGCTGCAACAATGGGCTCAAGCATAACAATGATTGTGAGGATGGCCCAGGATCTGGCAGTGTTTCATTGTGTTGTGCATAGGGTTGCTATGAGTTGGAACCAACTCTGTGGCACCTAACAGTAACAACAACTACTAGAAACAGAGCCCTGGTGGCACAGTGGCTAAGATCTTCTCTGCTAACCAAAAGGTGAGTGGTTCGAATCCACCAGCTGCTCTTTGGAAACCCTATGGGGCAGTTTTGCTCTGTCCTATGGGGTCACTATGAGAGGGAATCGACTCATTGGCAATGAATTTTCTACTCGAAGCATTTCTGAAATTACGTCAGGGGAAGGCAGAATGGTTGATCCAAAAGCAACTTATGAAAGGGGATATGATTTCAACAATGTTTATAAGATATATTGGATTGCAGCAATTACAGCCAGATTGTAGATTCATTAGAAGCAGCAGTATAAAATATGTGATTGAAATATGTATGATCATATTGTGTGATGCAAAGAGAAGGTAATCAAACACTGATATATCTTCTTCTTGCTTCTCCAGTAACCAATTGCCCAGGATTCACTCTCATGTTTACTTCTTTCGAGGTTAGAAGCTGGCTATGACTCTGAAGTTCCTCATATTAAGTCTTTATTATTGTTCCAAACAGATCCAGTAAGAAACAATAAGCAAAGATGAGAAATCAAACAACACTAACAACCTTTATCTTGCTGGGACTGACAGATGACCCTAGGCTGCAAATTCTGATTTTTATCTTTCTATTTCTTTCCTACATGTTAAGTGTAACTGGAAACCTAACCATCATCACCCTCACTCTGGTGGATCCCCACCTTAAAACACCAATGTATCTTTTCCTCCAAAATTTCTCCTTCTTAGAAATTTCATTCACGACTGCTTGTGTTCCCAGATTCTTGTATAGCATATCTTCTGGGGACAGGTCCATCACCTATGGTGCTTGCGCTAGTCAACTCTTATTTATAGACGTCTTTGCAGTAACAGAATTCTTTCTCCTGGCCACCATGTCGTATGATCGCTATGTGGCCATCTGCAAACCACTGCATTACACGACTATTATGAGCAGCAGAGTGTGCAAGAACTTCATCCTCTTTTGTTGGGCAGCAGCATTGATGATCATTCTCCCACCAATTAGTCTGGGTTTGGACCTGGAATTCTGTGACTCTAATGTCATTGATCATTTTTGCTGTGATGCATCTCCTATCCTGAAGATCTCTTGCTCTGACACATGGCTGGTAGAACAGATGGTTATTGTGTGTGCTGTGTTGACATTCATCATCACCTTCATGGGTGTAGTTCTTTCCTACATCTATATCATCAGGACAGTCCTAAGGTTCCCCTTTGCCCAGCAAAAGAAAAAGGCATTTTCCACTTGTTCTTCCCATATGATTGTTGTTTCCATTGCTTACAGTAGCTGCATCTTCATTTATGTCAAACCTTCAGCCAAGGATGAGGTGGCAATTAATAAAGGGATTTCACTCCTTATTACTTCTATTTCACCAATGTTGAATCCTTTTGTTTACACACTGAGAAACAAGCAAGTGAAGCAAGCTTTCAATGACTCAATTAAAAAAATTGCATTCCTCTCAAAGATGTAAAAGGAAGTTGATGAATCCAATTTAATGAGAAGATGAAAGGTCACAAACTTGTTGCTTCTAACACCATTTGTCTCTATATAGTACATTCTCTGGTCATATTAATGTTCTCACTTTCTCTTTAAACTTACTTTCTGTAAATCCTGATTAATTCATTCTTTACCCTCCATTAAAACCAAAGTCTTAGAGGATGTTCACTCTCATTATCTGGAAGGAAGTGTTGTTTGCCAAATATGTTGTCTACTCTCTGGGGAACAGAGTAGCTCACATTTTTCCAATTTCATTGTAGTTACTTGTGACTGTGTAAATGAGGTATAGCTAACAGAGTGACAGTGGAAGTGTTGTACACTATTTCTAGTGCTAGCCTATAAATAACCCCATAAGTGATCCACCATGCCTTCTCTCCACCTACTGGCCAGATGCCTATGCTTACGTGACCTTGTAAGCTTCACTTTGATAATGAAAAGCTTTGGGAAAGCTTTGTTTTCTGAAGGACTATATAGAGATCTTCCCTACCACCACTAAACTGAAATCTCTACGAACTGTTTATGTAGGCAAGAAATAAATTTCAGCTCTTTTCGACCTATTGTCCATCTAGGGAACTATTTTAAAGCAGTTAGCTATTATAACAAAAACCTAAGATATGTGACATTTGGAAAGCAGCAAGGAAACTAATATTGAAGATCAGAAACTTGAAAAATTATATAATGCAGTGGGAATACATTTAATAAAACAGTGCCTTGTTTGGAAGGTCGACTAAGTGTCTACTGAGATTATAGCTCAGAAAAGTAGTTGAACAAAGCCAATAGTGTGTGTTGTCTATTATTTGCTACATTTAGCAAGATTTTGTAGAATAGGAATGAGTTTGAGCTAGAATTGGCTGGTTTGAGAGCAGAAATTAAAAGGAATAAAGTGGATGCAAAAATTTGGGGTATAGCAAATTTATAAAATCCAACTGCTTCCAAACCATAAAAAGTAAGAATGAAAATAATAAATAGGACTAAAAAGACTTTAAGAAAAAAAAAGCCAGTTATGAATTCTCAATTTAAAAGATTCAGCTCATAACATAGATTATATTAAGGATATTTCCTTCCTAAGCAAGGCTTTTGTTTCAGATAGGCATAAATTAGTCACCATGAAGTTACAAAAAAGGAGTCCTGGTGGCACAGGGGTTAAAGTACTGGGCTGCTAACTGAAAGTTCAGTGGTTCGAACCCACCAGCCTTTTCAGAGGAGAAAGATGAGGCAGTCTGCTTCCAGGAAGAGTTACTGCCTTGGAAACCCTATGAGTCAGTGCTGCTCTGTCCTATACAGTCGCCATGAGTTGGAATTGACTCAATGGCAATGGGTTTGGTTTTGGTTTGGGTGGCACAATGATTAAGCGTTCAGCTGCTAACTAAAAGGTTGGCAGTTTGAACCCACCCAGTGGCTCCGTGAGAGAAAGACAGGGCTATTTGCTCCTGTAAAGATCACAGGAAAGGAAACCCTATGAGGTAGTTCTACTCTGTACATAGGGTTGCTATGAGCTGAAATAGATTGATGGCACACAACTACAAGTTACACCAATGAAAGAAGTAAAGAAACAAAGCAGACCTGAGAACTACGTCTACGAAAGAACTTTGTGTGAAATTTTCTGGCACATCAAATTGATTGGAAACAAGTCAGAAGTTTTCTAGCTTGATGAGGGAATCTGAGGGAACTTCCATGCTGTTTTTTCTTTTGCTAGTTGGATGCCAATTCCCAAGGTAACCTCTGGAGTCACAGATTATAGGTGGCAGCCATGCATGAGAAAAAAGAATTTAACATTATATATTCTTGAGTCTCTGATACATTAGTTAGCCTATGATATTAATATGTATTAAAAGATGATGAAAACAGATCTCCTAAAAATGCAATCCTGTAATGAAGAAAACCACATAAAATTGCATTTAGAAGTATAATAAAAACTACATCTGCAAATTTACTGAAAATAAAGAAATAATTCTCCTGGTAGCCTCCTCCAAACCCTACACACAAAGCAGTGATTTCCATTTGGAAGTAATAAGAATTTAAGATTTACAAACAATTAACAGAATAAAAATAATGTAATGTAATAATAAAAAAAGTCACAAATACTACTTCCTGTTCTAAGACTATGATAGAATAAGATAAGCTAAAATTATTACTTTAAATTTTTTTGAAGTTCTGCAGTGTGGGACTGGCGTTCAAGTGGGTCAAGAAAATGGGGTTGCCATTAAAAATTGAGGGGGTAGGGCTGTTGTGTCAGTAGACCAGGAGAATAAGAAGGGAGCTTCCTGGAACTGAGGGGATGGAGTCATTGCTCAGGTAGGCCAGGAGAATGGGGCCGCCCAAGCCAAGGAAGTGAGACTGCAGTTCCATGAGGACGGGGCTAATGCCCAGGGCCAAGGGACCTCCACCCTGAATCCTGACAGCATGGGCAAGGCCCAGATTCTGGAGGTGGAGCCATTGCCCAGATGTGCCTGGAAAACAGAGGATTATTCTCAAGCTTGAGAGACAGTGAAATTTGCTCTGCTGGGTTTTGGACTTGCTTTGGTACCCATGATTCCTTCTTCCAGTTTCTCCTATTTGAAATGGGAATGTCTACCTTGTGCCTATTCCACCATTGTACTTTGGGAGCAGATAACTTGTATTCTAGCTTTCAAAGATCCATAGATGGAAAGGAATTTTGTCCCAGTATGGAACAGACCCATAGTCTCGCCCTTCTTGAAATAGGTTATCCAGAAGATGAGATTTTGGACTTGATGATGGCATGGGTTAAAACCTTTGTGATGATGTGATAAGGTGAATATGTTTTCTGCCTGTGGGAAGAACATGAGTTCTGGGAAGCCAAAAGGTGAAATGTTACAGATTGAATTGTGTGTCAAAATATGTGTTGGAATCCTAACATCTATACCTGTGAATATAATCCTGTTTAGAAATATGGTTTTCTTTCTTATGTCAATTAGATCACACTGAAGTAGGGTGTATTCTAAATCTAATCATTTTCAAGTTTAAAAAGAAGATGAGACACAAAGATATGCACACGTGGTGAGGTGGAGGGCAGACACCATATGAGGTTGTCTGTAAATCAAGGAACCAAGAAACACCTGGCTGCCTACAAAGAAGGAATCAACACAGCCAATATTCTGATTTGGACTTCTGGCCTCCAGAACTGTAAGAAAATAAATTGATGTTCTTTAAAACTACACAACTCTCACAACAGAAATACCATAAGTGAAGGATTTTAAAGAACAGAAATTTATTTTCTCACCGTTTTGGAGGCTAGAAATCCAAAGCAGGCCATCAGTTATAGGGGAGAGTCCTTCCTTGTTGGTAGCCCCACAAGTTCCTTGGTATTCCTTGGTATTCTGAAAAGTAGAAGTTTTGAAGAAAGAGCGCATGGCAGTTTTAAGATGGGAATACATTTAAAGTGAGTATAGTGATGGTCAGTTTCCCAGTTGCACTCAATGTGTAGATAACAAACAGAAATATAAAACTTGAACATTCATTTGTCCCAGGAGTATGGATACAGTTAATGACATATGGTTTCTCATCACTGACTTAAACTTCGCTCAATCTCCTCACAAACTAAAATGATAATGAACTGAGAAAAGTGTGTAAGATTACACGAGCTTGGACATGGGCTAGAAAATCTAATCACTGCAGTCATTTTCTTGACAATAATAAATCTCGTCAAAACCCTGGTAGCCTCAGCTTTATTGATGTGCTTCCAGGTTTATGATCTGTTCCCTGCTGGGCCCGGCTACCATCAGGGATATCTCATACCCCTCTGTAGTTGCAAGGTAGCAAGAAACAAGACCACTTCTCTCTATCTCCTTCTGCCTCACTGATGCTAGGTGGGTGTGTAGGTTTAGTTACTCAGTGGACCTAGACATCAGTAGTGGAAGAAAAGGGGGTACTCACCAGCCCTAACCTGCAATGCCTTCTTCAGTTTCTTTGTTGCTGATGGAGCTTAAGGCTCAAGTCCTTGCTGGGTCTTGCTGACATGGTGGTTTTGGGACTGGGAGAGGTGAAGCCTAGCTGTGACTAGCCCTACCTTGCACTACCTTCTTAAGCCTCAGTGCTGCTGGGGGCAGATCAAGGCTCACCTCCCTGCTGGACACCACTGAAATTACCCTGATTGGCGGAATTGGAGTACTGCATGGTTCTGTAAGGCAGGATATGGGAGATGAGCTCTCTACTTGGCCTTGCCAACACCACTCAAGTGGAAAGATTGGAGTTCAAAGCCTGCTTCCATGAGGCTTGGGTCAGGTAGAGTGGAAGATCACCTTCTACCTGGTGCCACTGAATGACTGAAACCACAGGGGATGTGGTGGTATGGGAATTCTGGTTGCATTTTCCTGGAGTAGGGTAGGTATTGACAAAAAGGGTTTCTGTTGTTAGGTCACTCTTTTCTCAGTCCTTTGGCTAGGGGCAACAGGTTTTTCTTGGAGCTTATTTTCTTTGTGCCCGTTGGCAGCTCTGGATTGGAAACTTCTGCAATGTCCTGTCTAAGATACCTGGGAGGAAATAGGAAACAGAGGGAACTCATTGTCATGAAATTTCTGAAGTCCTGAGGTCCTTAGGCAGTTCACCTTCTTTCCATTTTTCAGAGACTTTCTATGCTTGTTTCTTACGTTAAATCCATGATTTTTTAGTTGTATAGAGGAGGACCTGGAAGAAATAGGGCTACTGCATCTTTGAAGAACCAGAAGTTGGTGTGCTTTTTCAAATGAGATGTTTTATGACTGCTTTACAAAGTAAGTTTGACAATTTACATTTCAACAGACACAGTGTGGAAGTAGCCATTTTCCAAGGATTCCAATAAGCAAGATGCCTAAGAGCTATTGTCAACATAAACACTAATCTCAATATCACTTAATTTTGGATTTGACTATTATAGTGAGTTTGAGCAAATTTTAATGTAATTTTTGCTAAATTGGATTTGATATTATGCAAATTACCTATTTCTATTCTTATTTTCCTTTTGAATTATTTATATATCCTCTTGCAAT